AATTGGGTAGATTTACAGAACCAGACAGGATTGCTTTCCTGTTGGTAATTGTTGGTTACTTCTAAGACACTAATACCACTAATGCACATTTAGGGAAATCTTGCCATTCTGGTCATTGTGGTGCATAGGCATCACGGCTGGGTAAGAATATTGGCTACTTCCTTCCACTGTCAGTTTGTAGCACCTTCCAATGCTATGAATGCTAGCCCTCAGGAAGGAAGATTACGGGTCACACACAGCTTATGTCCTCCAACTCCTGTGTTTGACATACATGGTATCTTCAGCAATGGGGATTTATCTTCAACCTCTGGGAGGCAACAAAGAGCAAGAACAACAGCCCATGTTGTTCATGGGGTCTCCGAGATGCCTCTGTCCAACAACTGGAAAGGAGGGTTTTATCCCTTTTACTGGAATTTTATTAGATAGTCTAAGGCTTTGGAGTGAACCATTGTCAGTCCAAGTGGCATAACTTCATTTAAACTGTATCTATATAAGTATAAACATACATTTGTGTATTTTAAATGTAGCTTTAGGTAAATAAAAAATAATAGGATTCCTTATAGTTTTGTTATCCCTACCCCAACCTCCCTTTCTTGTATTGACTTGCCATTCCCTTTCCAATTAAGGATCCCCTGTCAGATTTCTCATACAAGCCTTCAGATCATTTATGTACTGGTATTTCCCTCTCTATAGACACCCCATATGGCAACTTTTTACTTTTCTGGTTTCTGCAAAATGTTCATGTTATATGCTCAGATCTAAAGGTTTGGAGCTAGGAACCATGAATTAGAGAAAACATGCAATGTTCATCTTTTGGGTATGAGTAACCTCACACAACATATATTCGAGTTTTACCCATTATCTGAAAATTTCATGCTTTCATTTTTCTTTACAGTTGAACAGTATTTCATAGTGTATATATACTTCATTTTTATTATTCATTCATCAATTGAAGGGCATTTAGGTTATTTCCATTTCCTAGATATTGTGAACAAAATATCAATGAGTATGATTGAGTATCTGTAGAGTTGTATATAAAGTCCTTTGGGCATGTTCCAAGGGATGATGTAATTGAATCCTGTGGTACAGTTATATTTAGATTTTTTAGAGTTCCACAGTGGCTGTACCACTTTGCCATTCTACCAACAGTAAAGGAGGGTAGCACTTTTCCCATATCCTCTCCAGCATTTGTTGTCCATTGTTTTGTTAATTTCAGCCATTCTGGCTAGAATAAAACAACATCTCAAAGTTGTTTTGATTTGAATTTTTTCAATGTCTAAAGATGATGAACATTTTTTCAGATATATCTTAGCCACTTAAATTTCTTTTTTGAGAACTTTCTGTTCAGACACCAAGTACATTTTTAGAAAAGGTTGATTAGAATCTTTTGTTTGCCAGTTTTGCTTTTATTTCTTTGTTTTTAGTTCTTTGTATATTCTGGAGATTAACACTTTGTCAGATGTATATCTAGCAAGGATGCTTTCTCCTGTGGTCTTCCTCTTCACTCAAATGATTGTTTTCTTGGTGTGCAGAAGTCCTGTTCAGAAAGTCCTTAACTACACCTAGAACTCATAGGGAACAGCTATATATTCTAAAATCTCTAGGAATAAACCTAAGTGTTGAGGCAGGTTCTTCAAAATGAAAACTTTCAGTCTCTGAAAAGGGAGATTGAAAAAGGCACTAGAAAATGAAAAGACAGTTCATGCTCATAATGGTAGAGTTAACTGTGTGAACATGAAAATTCTACCAAAATCCATTTACAGATTCAATGCAGTTCCAATCAAAATCCACAAATAATTCTTCATAGAAATGGGAAAAGGTCAAATTTCAAAAAGACCATGGATAGTCAAAGCAATCCTCAGCAAAAAGAAAAATGCTGGAGGGATGATCCCCCTACGTTTCAAGATATACTACAGAAAAATAGTAATAAGAACAGTACACAAAGCATAATAATAATAATAAAAACTGGCACAAAGACAGTCATGTAGACCCATGGAACAAAATATAAGACTCAAATATGAATACATTTAACTACAGCTATGTAATATTTGACAAAAACTCCAAAGACATACACTGGAAGGGAAAAAAGCAGCATCTTCAACGAATGATTCAGATAAAACTTGATGACTACATGTGGAAGAATTCTATTAAATCCACATCTATCACCTTCCCAAAAACTAACCCTAAATGCATCAAAACATAAATGAATATATTTCTTGAATTCAATTTACAAATATAGTATCTAGAGTTCAGGTTCATTCTCTTCCAATGAGGATAACTTGGGGCATCAAATGAACTACCTCTCCCTTTCAATATTTTACCAGCAGGACATGCTGAGCATCTACACTCTTTGCCTACTTTATTGTTGTCATTGTCATTGCTATGTGAAACCTGCCTAAAGTGCTGCTCAAAACTTGGGAAAATATACATAGATAATAGCTCTTATCCACATTTTTTATTCTTTCAGTGTGAACAAAGAGACTATTTCATCACACAAGATAAGAAAGATTGCCATAGTTCAAAGTATAAATATGCCTTGTAATTGTTGAATACCTTTGGGGGTGTAGAAATTCATTGTCAAAATTCCTAAAAGCAACATAATCAAACAAAATCTGCAGTCATAGAAGTAGTGGATTTGGATCATTTTGAAATATGATTAAAAGTGTGTCTCAGTTGTGCAATGAAAAAGGATTAAACAAGTTTTTTAGAGTCCTTTCCAATGTAATAATATCTAATATTGGTGGTTAATAACTATCTTTTCTTTCTTTGCTATCATTGTGTGAGCCTTTTCCATATTTTTATAATCACTTTCATAATTTTTCAGATTGATCACTTGAAAAAATAGAATAACAGGAACTGAGCTTCAGATACCCACTCAGCAAAAGAGAGATCAGCTTTCTATACCGAGAAACACTACCAACAACATAACTCCAGACACCTAGGTCTCATCACAATTAAATAAAAATTAACAGCTGAAACAATACATCTCGAACAGAATTGGTACTCCCATAATACTGCTGTCTCAAAAAGGTGACTTAGATGATGCATAAGACAATGAAGTCACCATTCTTGAAGAACTACAACCATAGCTGGAGTTTTCTCCAGTCCCACCCAGGCCCTCAGTCGCTCAGACCTAAATAAACACACGGACACTTATATTAATTAAAACTGTTTGGCCTAATGGCTCAGGCTTCTTGCTAGCTAGATCATACACTTAAATTAACCCATAATTCTTATTTATGTTTAGCCTCGTGGTTTGGTCCCTTTTCCCAGTTCTGCCTTCATATCCTGCTTCTTCTGTGTCTGGCTGGTGACTCCTGATTCAGCCTTCCACTTCCCAGAATTCTCCTCTCTGCTTATCCTGCCTGGCTACTGGCCAATCAGTGTTTTATTTATCAATCAATCAGAGCAACACATTCACAGCATATAGAAAGACATCCCCAGCACTACAACCACCATATTACTAAAGCAACATAATCCCTAACTACATTCTAAATATTTTCTCTTATATCCACAGGTGAGTATAATCCTCAGTCCTCTTTAAGGAAACTTCTCTTTGCAGCAGGTGAAATCCATTACAGAAAATCAAAATGCAGAGATGTGGAGCCCAGTCAAATTTGATATATCTACAAAACACTCCCATACCTAAGGCTCAGGGAAGATTGTGAAAGAGGAGGCAAAAAATTTCTGAAAATCAGAGAGGATCAGGGAGTTTTCTGTGAGACTGTGTCTCCTCATAATGTCAGAAGCTACACCCATAAAGTCTCCCCAGCATGACTGTATATGCATGAGCTAAACAAGGACAACAATAAACATGTCAAATAGATGGGGGAAAGAACATGAGGTTTCAACCCTACTAAAGAACCACAAGCAGCTGAATAATACCAAAAATGGGGAGAAAGTCTCCAGAGAAAAACACATCAGTTGGGTATCCAATGTCCAATGGTCAGCCCTAAAAACAATCATACAAGTAACATTATCAGACTGAGCAGATTATATTTAGGAACATACACACACACACACACACACACACACACACACACATGCATATGACGATAATTAGTTAAAAGAGATGCCATGAATTTGAAAGAAAGCAAGGAGGGATATATGGGAGGGTTTGGAGGAAAAATGAAAGGGGTAAATGATGAAAAAGAAAAAACATAGAAAATTTACATTCAATTCTATTAACTCAAATTACAAAATAATATTATATTGTATTCAATGACTAATAAGCATGGCATGTAGGCAATAAAGTAAATCACATGCCGAGCTGACACTGAGAGTAGGTTTCGGCTGTTATCAAATAAAAAGAAAAAACATGGATAGCAATTTAAGTGGAGAAGTTACTATTTTGACTTAAGGAATTCTTTTATTATCTGCATTCTGTATCATCATACTGTATGCCTTACATACACATAATAAGATTTATGTCAAATTAAGAATACAAAGCAAGGGCTAGAGAGATGGCTCAGAGATTAAGAGCACTGACTGCTCATCCAGAGGTCCTGAGTTCAATTCCCAGCACCCACATAGTGGATCACAACCATCTGTAATGAGATCTCGAACCCTCTTCTATATACATAATAAATAAATAAATAAAACTTTTTAAAAAAGAATACAAAGCAAAACAAAAGTTCTTCAAATCATAGGTGGTGTTTCCATATCACAATGGAAATACTTTATGTTCCTCTGCTCTGTGATAGTCCAACATAGATGCAAACTAAGAAAGGTTCAAATTGTTATATAAGTCAAATAAAAAACTTAGATTATCCTGAAATAAATTATTTAAATTATATAGTATGCTAAAGTTCAACAGGTATTTTAGAAACATGATGCTTCCATAAAACATTTCTTTGTTAATTAGATCAATATCATGATGACATCATGAAAAACAATGAAAAAACACAGTTAAATTGAACAGTTTAGAAAATTCACTGGCCAGATATTTTTTTTTTGATAATTCTCGGTGTTTCTTTGATATCTCAGAATTAGCATATTCTTCAGCAACAGAACATCTTTACTCTATATGTACATAACATTCTATACCAGAGTTTTTGCATAGAACTTTTTATCTCTGAATTCCTCAAAGTGTATATTAAAGGATTCAGCATGGGTGTGAAAACTGTATAAAAAGCAGTAATAAATTTATCAATGGGAAAGTTGGACACAGGTCTAACATACATGAAAATGCAGGGAACAAAGAAGAGAACCACCACAGTGATGTGAGTGCTGCAGGTGGACAGGGCTTTGTGCCTCCCTTCCTGACTGTGACTCTTAAGGGAGCTTAGAATAACACCATAGGAGAATAAGAGAAGGACAAAGACCACCATACAGATTGCTCCACCATTGGCAACCACAGTCAGTCCTATCAAGTAAGTGT